ACATTAACTAAAGTTCATTTTCTAGCCAATGAAGAGGAAACAAAACAATTAAGCACCTTGTACGAGAGAAGAATTTTTTGTTGTTGTTAGTTGCGAAGTCGTGTCCGACCCATCGCGACCCTATGGACAACGTTCCTCCAGGCCTTCCTGTCCTCTACCATCTTCTGGAGTCCATTTAAGCTCACGCCTCCTGCTTCAGGGACTCCATCCAGCCACCTCATCCTCTGTCGTCTCCTTCTTCTCTTGCCCTCCATCTTTCCCAGCATCAGGCTCTTCTCCAGTGAGTCCTTCCTTCTCATCAGGTGGCCAAAGTACTTGAGTTTCAACTTCAGGATCTGGCCTTTTTAAAGAGCAGTCAGGGTTGATCTCCTCTAGGACTGACCGGTTTGATCGCCTTGCAGTCCAGGGGACTCGCAGGAGTCTTCTCCAGCACCCTAGTTCAAAGGCCTCCATTCTTTGGCGCTCAGAAATTTAGCGCTACTATTTTCATTTCTTTTTGAGGCCGTTTAACTCTGCTTTGTAGCATGTGGCATCTCTAGAATGAGTTTGTAGATCTTTCCTCAAGGCTGGGGCAGACTGAGGTACACCCAACTTCCTTTGAAAGCATTTTAGTATAGAATTCTTGCAGCAACAGGTAACCACTTTTCTATCGGTCTAATTTCCAGACGCGCCTCCAAGCTGTGCTGGATGAGTTCAAACAGCAAGAAGAGCGAGAGAAGCAGCAGGTAAGAATTCCGCCATTTTGACAAATGCCGCGTGGAAAGAAAGGCGAAGAAACATTAAAAGAAGCATGATATTGATGTGATTATTACTGGTAGAAATTTTAGAAAAATCTTTACATTTAATTGTTACCTATCAAATTAATAAGAATTGTATTAATTTGAGGTTGCAAAGAGAATATTATTGGAAGAAGAGAAAATCAAGCAAAGCTATGATGTGGATTTTGGAATACAGAAATTAACTGTTAGTGATTACTTTGTAAATATAAACCTAGACAACACGCTGTTTACCAAATATGTTTATGTTAAAAAAGCAATAAAATATATTTAAAAAAAGAAAGAAAGGTGAAGAAACAGGCAAGTTTTGGAAACCCACAAAGAGCAGCAATTTTATTGGGGATGCAATACACAGAAGTGTAATATTCTAGCCCTGGAAAATATTTACAGGGGAGGTTAAGTGATTACTGAGCATTTGACTTGTAAATTGCTAGATCGGAATTGGTTCATCCTTTTTTGCATATCTAAGTGGCAACCCATCAGAGCAGCTTCATAGTTGTAAATGAATCTTGCTTGGCTGAGCTGGCTGGGATTCATGGGGTCATTTGCGTGATATCTATAACCTCTTAGAATAGATTTTTTTTTAAATTAAAATTTTAAAATTCACTGTCTTGTGAATTAGACAAAGCTGGATGCAATTGCTTCTGGATTGCTTTTTTTTTAATTTTTTTTTTAGCAACTCAGACTGATTCTGACGATGGCTGAGAAATCCATGAGGAGACTGTTGGCATTGTCTACACCAGGGGCCTTCAAACTTGGCCCTTTGATGACTTGTGGACTTCAACTCCCAGAATTCCTGGCTGAGGAATTCTGGGAGTTGAAGTCCACAAGTCATCAAAGGGCCAGGTTTGAAGACCCCTGGTCTACGCAACCCTGAGGAAATCAAACGAGGGTCGTGACTTGAGGAGAATGCCTTGACGTTTCCCTTCTTTTTCATTGCTACCTTCCCAACATCTCTGCACAAAAAAAGCTTCCCATTTGCATTCTCCCACTCAAGCCCACTTGTGATGAAACCATGGACCTAGCGAGAACACTCTTTATAAAATGAGAGGAAAGTATTATCAAATGGGTTGGGAATAATAGTAAAAGGATTGTCTTCCTAGAGATAGAGAGATCAGGGGAACCAATGGAAAGATCCTTGGATCATGACTTGAAGGAGAAAAGTGGGACTGATGGTAGATTTCATTCTTTAATAGAGCATTTTTTTTCTTTATTTCTTGCTCTGCAGCTGGCATCTCTTCAAGAGCAGCTAGAAGCTCTGATGGAAAAGTGAACCTCTGAACTTCCAAGATCAGCTCTGATGTTGACTGAGAAGCTCCTTTCTGGTGCTGTGGCTTGCACCTTCTTCAGCCCAAAGTCATCATAACTTCTGAGCCTATTGGCAAGTTCCTCTCGAACGTCTAGATCAGGGGTCTTCAAACATGGCCCTTCTATGACTTGTGGACTTCAACTCCCAGAATTCCCCAGCCAGCATAGCACGTTGGCTAGGGAATTCTGGAAGTTGAAGTCTCCGTATCTCAAAGTTGCCAAGGTTGAGAAACACCGCCTAAAGCAGGGGTCTTCAAACTTGGCCCTTTCATGACTTGTGGGCTTCAACTCCCAGAATTCCCCAGCCAGCGTGCCTGGCTGAGGAATTCTGGGAGTTGAAGTCCACAAGTCATGAAAGGGCCAAGTTTGAAGACCCCTGGTCTAGATAAACATCTAGCCAGGCTCCGGGAGTTGTGGCTTACAAATACCCTGTGGAAAACAGGCAGAAAACTTGAATACTTTGCGAAGAGTGGAATTTTCTAGAAGGTGGCCACACAAAAACGGTGATTGCTCCTGAAAGCAAAATCCACTCCAGGACAAATCTTTGGTTCTTTTTTCAGCTCCGCCTCTTTTTTGTTTTCTGATGAGCCAGTGTTGCACTTTTGGGTTGTTCTTTGAAGAAGCATGAGATGAATTCTTCCTGGAATGAATGAGGACAACGCTCTGCTCTCCATTATCTGTAAATACTAATTGTGAGGAAAAAGACAACAGCTTGCCTCTTTTACATTACTTTTACACATTCATAATTTTGTGTTCAAGGGCATTGTGAAATAAAAATAAAGTTTTCTGTATATATGTTATCACAACTATATTTCCCAGGTTATCTGTTGCTCTTCAAGTAGAGAGAGGAAGAAGAGGGGGTCAAGCTATTCTCCAAAGTGCCTGAAGGCAGGACAAGAAGCAACGGTTGGAAACTAATCAAGGACAGAAGCAACCTAGAACTAAGGAGAAACTTCCTGACAGTTAGAACAATTAACCAGTGGAACAACCTGCCTCCAGAAGCGGTGAATGCTCCAACATTGGAAGTTTTTAAGAAGAGACTGGACAGCCATTTGTCCAAAATGGTATAGAATTTCCTGCCTGAGCAGGGGTTTGGACTAGATGACCTCCAAGGTCCCTTCCAACTCTATTATTATTATTATTATTATTATTATTATTATTATTATTATTATTATTATTATTATTATTATTATTATTATTATTATTATTATTATTATTATTATTGGCTACAGCTGCCTACTATCTAGCAATCATTCTCGAAAAACAATTCCAGCTTCAAAAATTGATAGTGGCAAAAATTTACCTTGACAACTTGAAGCTGCATAGATTTCAACTCCCACAATTCCCCAGCCAGCATGCCTTAGAAGAGATGTTTTCCCAGATGTCTGGGGGGTAAAAAACCAAGGTATTTTTATCCCTGAAAATTCTGTTTGTGATAAACTAGAGTCCTCGTGTTAGGGCATCTCTTGAAAAGGGATTTGGTCTCATAAGAACTGGAACATACAAAATTTAGACTTACATAGATGCAAAGTAGGGAATAATAAAAATACGGAAATAGTCCAAAAGTACAGTGAGAGGGGAGGAAAAATTAGGATTAGAATTAGCTTGTTCAAGATGTTCCATCGTTTAGAGAGGAAAATTTTTGCCCTGCTTAATAGAAATATCCTTCTATGCAGTAATATACAGGTAGTCCTCAACTTACAACAGTTCATTTAGTGACCGTTCAAAGTTACAAGGCACTGAAAAAAGCGACTTAGACAATTTTTCAAACTTACGACTGTGGAGCATCCCAATGGCCGTGTGATCAAAATTCAGCCGCTTGGCAACTGATTCATATTTATGTTGGTTACTCTGTCCCGACTTTTTGCGGCCTTCTGACAAGCAAAGTCAACGGGGAAGTCAGATTCACTTCACAACCATGTTACTACCTTAAGAACTTATTTATTTAACAGCTGTGGCAAGAACGGTCATAAAATGGGGCAAAACTCATTAAAATGTCTCACTTGGTAGCAGAAAGTTTGGGCTCCATTGCGGTCATAAATTGAGGATTACCTGTACAGTTAACTTAAGCTTTGCCCTCAGCCTGGAGTAACACATCCCAGATCTGAGTTTCTCACTCAGAACTTTATTTAGAGCAGTGGCCCCCAACCTTTTGGGCACCAGGGACCGGTTCCATGGAGAGAGATTTTTGTGCGAACCGGTAGGGTCGTGGTTTTGTGTGCTGCCTACATTCCATGGATGGGGCTTCGCTTGTTTGCGTGGCCCGGTTTCTGCCCTGCCATGGACCGGTGCCGGTCCACGGACTGGGGGTTGGGGACCCCTGATTTAGGGGACTTATATGGCTGCCAGTCTCATACAGTGATACTAGATGGTTAATAACAGTCCATAAAACATGGAAACAAAGGTCTGTCTGTCTGTCTCTCTCTCTCTCTCTCTCTCTCACACACACACACACACACACACACGTACCAGACCAAAGATCCTTCCAGCTCAACTTCCCCATCCTATCCCAAGGCTTAAGGGAAGAGTCAGATCTTCATAGATCTGCAGCCCTTGTAGGAATTGGCTAGTCTCATTCAGAAAGCTATTGGCGGCACCCTTTGTTTAGCCTGATCTAATTTAAAATTTTTAAGACGGCAAATCCTGCATTAACCTGGCTGAAAGAAGATTAGGGAGTGTTTATATTCTACCGAGCCCTTGAAAAGATGTTCTCAGCCTCTGAAAAGAGTTTCTTTGCGCTGTAAGGAGCTCTAGATAGTTGTCCAGAGTCGGTTGCAACTGTTCGGACCTCTGTTGCGGCATGTAGGTCTAAATAAATGGAAATTAGTTAGGCTGAAGAGGCCTGTTGTAAAGAAAAGAAGTGCCTTCGCCCAGATTTGAAGGAAAAGGGAACGTCAGAACCGCCACGTCAGAGCCATGGAAGAAACCTACCTCCTTAATGTGGAAGGCGTCAAGAAAAAGATTTTGCATGGAGGTTACGGGAAACTGCCTCATTTTCAGGATGGGAGCAAGGTAAATGCACTAACTAGCAGGGTTGAGCTTAAGACAGGAACTGTATGCTAGCCATAATAGCCAAAGGGTTATTTTTGGAGAGCAGATCCCATTCGTTCGGAAGGCACAGTTTGCAGTGACATTTCTGTCTGGAAATATTCTTTACTTTTTCCCCCCTCTATATATACTTTTAAAAACTTTTTCTTTAATCTTTCTGTCTTTCCCATTTTTCTTCTATATCTTTTTCCTCATTTCTTTTATATTTCTTTGTGTTTAGTTTTTAATTTTATAAAAAGTATTTTAAGAAAGTGTTTGCGTAGAGAGAGAGCTAGATGGATGGATAGACAGACGGACAGATAGACAGACAGGCATCAATTCCAAGTTCTCTTGTCTCATCCCAGGGGCGGTAGGAGAACTCAATGCTGTGACTCCTAAACTGCAGAACAATGCAGAACTCTCAACTTTAAAAAATGACACACACACAAATACACATACACACACACACAGGTTTTCTCAGGATGGATTAAGACTATTGCATCTCTCAGGCTGTATTTATGGGCCGATGCCATCCATTCATTGCTGGAGAAATAATAATAATAATAATATATAATCGGGATTCCATCTAGAAACAAACATTTGCTAAACCTTGGGGATAAAGATCTATATTTAGGCAGGCAAGTCCCGAACCAGGATTAACTGTAACCTTCCTTCAATGTAGATCACCTTCCACTTCCAGACCCTGAAAGATGATTTTGAGCGGACAGTGATTGATGACAGCCGGAGAAGTGGGGTTCCCATGGAGATCGTTGTGGGGAAAATGTTCAAAATCGAAGTGTGGGAGATGTTACTGACCTCCATGCGGATCAACGAGGTGGCAGAGTTCTGGTGTGATGCTGTAGTGAGTGTTACTAAGAAATAACAGAATAGAATAGAATAGAATAGAATAGAATAGAATAGAATAGAATAGAATAGAATAGAGCTAAAAGGGACCTTGGAGGACTTCTAGTCCAGCCCCCTGCTCAAGCAGGAGAAAGATTATGTTTGAATGGGCAGTGCTGCCTCTCTGTTAGCACATGGGCTGATCAGTCGTATCTTCAGACTGCTTGTGGCAGAGAATAACAGCAGCCACAGTTGGTTTATGTCCTGCTCAAGGATCTCTTGGAGGCATCTGATTGACCCTGGTCAGCTATGTTGGTCTGATCCAGCATGAATCTTATCTGGGGATGAAACCCTGGAGCTGGCATACATATACAACTCAGTATCTATGTTCTGCATAAATGACTCTTTCTTCTCTGCAATAAACATCTTCTGTAGTCATGCCGTATCTATAAAGCTACTCCTATGACGGGGGTGGGGAGCCTTGGCTCTTTTATGACTTGCGGACTCCAACTCTCTAGGCTGGATCAGGAATTCTGGGAGTTGAAGTCCGCAAGTCCTAAAAGCTGGGTCAGGAATTCTGGGAGTTGAAGTCCGCAAGTCATAAAAGAGCCAAGGTTTCTCACCCCTGTCCTATGAGCACGTTTCTGAAAATTAGGTGAGATGCCTGGAGACTCAAGGCTTATTATTGTGCCTGATGTATTGTCCATTTTTGAGGGTTGGTTCTGACATTATTCATTGTAATTATTATGGCTTTTTATGCTGTGACCCACCGAGAGCCTGAATACAATTGCTGTGGCTTGTAATAGATGTATAATATAAATAATAACATCTGACCCTGAGGGATTAGATGGTGATCTTCAGAATAAGAATGAATATAGGCAAGGGTTCCTTGGTTATCTTGGCATTGTTGGAGGTGGTGTGGTTGAAGGAAAGGGGTTGGTGAACCCACGGTCCTCCAGATGTTGCACTTGCTTTCTTTCAACACTTAAGCTCTCCGTAAAAGTTTCCTTTTTCTGCTACCATCTGAAGTCACCTGTTTTTTCTGCTCCTCCTCCTTTATTGTATCTTCTGCTGCTCCAGTATCTGTGAGCATTTTTATGGGTCCCCATCTTTCCACCCTTCTATGTTTCCAGCATACAGGAATGTATGCCTTGGTCTCCAAAGGCTTGAGGCAAATTGCTGCGGGCAAAGATCCCCTTCACGGACAGAATCACCAATGTGGAATGGGCAACATGTTTGACTATCACAGCACAGGCTATGAAGACCTGGATGAACTACAGAAGACACCTCAGCCCCTCATCTTCATCATGGAGCTATTCAAAGTGAGTTCACTTCAAAAAGGTGTTTTGAGCTCTTCAGACTAGTTTTTTTCCAACCTTGGCAATCTTAAGATGGGTGGACCTTCTTAGATTGTAATCTCCAGAAGGTTTTCTCTCTGCTGGATTCCACAGCGTCTCTTCTCACATCCTTACCTTGATTTTAAGTAGCTTCCCTGGTGATTTACATTTCAGAATGGACTGGTTTGCTGTTACATCAGTAACTTGTTCTGACAGGCAGTGAAGAATATGATGGGTTGTAAATTGGATGAGCAGGATTTATGACCTTCCATTGTTTCCCTGATTTCTCAAGGTGGAGGACCCTTCTTCCTATAGAAGAGACACATGGGCTATGAACAACGATGAGAAGCTAGCTGCTGTGCCAAAATTACACACTGAGGGCAACCGGCTGGTCTTGTCCAGGAAATTCAAGGAAGCAGCAGAGAAATATCAGGAAGCTGTCATCTGTTTGCGCAATCTTCAGGTTAAGGTGAGAGATGGAGGGAGATAAGATCACCCTGCCAACAAAAGTGCGTATAGTCAAGGCCATGGTTTTCCCAGTTGCAATGTATGGCTGTGAAAGTTGGACCATAAGAAAGGCTGAGCGCCAAAGAATTGAGGCCTTTGAACTCTGGTGCTGGAGAAGACTCCTGCGAATCCCCTGGACTGCAAGGCGATCAAACCGGTCAGTCCTAGAGGAGATCAATCCTGACTGCTCTTTAGAAGGCCAGATCATAAAGTTGAAACTCAAATATTTTGGCCATCTAATGAGAAGGAAGGACTCACTGGAGAAGAGCCTAATGCTGGGAAAGATTGAGGGCAATAGAAGAAGGAGACGACAGAGAATGAGGTGGCTGGATGGAGTCACTGAAGCAGTAGGCGTGAGCTTAAATGGACTCCAGAAGATGGTAGAGGACAGGAAGGCCTGGAGGAACATTGTCCATGGGGTCACGGTGGGTCGGACACGACTTCACAACTAACAACAAGATGTACTTCTGCCTTGGATGTTAAGACCTTTGATATGGAGCCTTTGGCAGGTGTTCTTGCGACTTACACCCTCAAGGAAAAGTTTCTTAGTAGTATTAGTAGTACCTCAGGTATGAAATACTTTCTCCAGCAGCTTCTGTAAGACTCAGTTCTGGAGAAATGGTCACAGTTTCTCTAGATGGTTGAATGTGATTCAAGTTCCTGCAGCCCTTTTAAGTTCTAATGTTTCGTTTTGATTGTTTGGCCTTGCTATGGAAATTCGTTGGAGAATATTAAGCCCATTGTTAACACAAGCTTAAATATTTTCTGGTTTGGGGTGGTGCACACTCTGTACTTTACATTCTTTTTCATCAGTTTGGACTTTTCTCCAGTCCCTCAGTGGATCCATACCTGTGATACAAAAACTCCAGTTAGATCGGGACTCTTGCCATGTCCTTACAGTCGGCTAGTTACCATTTCCTTCTTTCCTCTTAACAGGAGAAGCCGTGGGAGGAGGAATGGCTGAAGCTAGAGAACCTCGTCACACCTCTTGTGTTGAATTATTGCCAGTGCCTGCTAGAGTTGGGGGAATACTACGAAGTGTTGGAACACACCACAGAAATCCTCCAGAAGCACAGTGGTATGGCAATCGCTTTGATCTGCTTTGACTGGTTTTGTCTTAATGAACTTAGCCATTGTGGTTGTAAACCATCATTTATGAGGGTCATATCTGCCTGAGCAGGGGGTTGGACTAGAAGACCTCCAAGGTCTCTTCCAACTATTCTATTCTATTCTATTCTATTCTATTCTATTCTATTCTATTCTATTTTCTCAAATTACATTTCTACCATGGGCTCAGATTTCTTTTATTGGACTGTTGTCTTGGTTGTGGCTCTTCCTCCTGTTCCTCAAGTTATTCCTTTTGTTCCCATTATAGTTTGTGATGGAGGCCATATTTCCATAAGATTATGTTGTCTGTGTGACAGAATAGACTAATTTCTGTGGTGTTCTCATCTCAGTAACCCATGGTCCTTGAACATAAAGGGTTACCTTGGAGAAGTGGTTGTGAATGATCACATTTTACAAGACTTGCTTAGGAACATTTAAACCATCTTTGTTCTTTCCTAGACAATGTCAAGGCATACTTCAAGCGGGCAAAAGCTCACGCTGCTGTTTGGAACGAGAAGGAAGCCCGAGCAGATTTCTTGAAAGCGGCCCAGCTGGATCCCTCGCTGGCAGCTGCAGTGAGAAAAGAGATAAGGATCCTGGGAGAGAGGATGAGATCGAAACATGTGGAGGACCGCAAGAGATACCGAGATCTGTTCCAGCAGCCTGTCTCAAAAGGGGCAAGTGAGGGATCTGAAGAAACTTCTGTGGAGCAAGAAGAACAGGCTGGCTATGGCCTCGCAGCAGAAAAGAAGCAAAACAACCCAGAAGCTACGAAGCAGGAGAGAGAACTTGGAGCGAAAAACAGTGGAACAAATGAAGGAAATGTAGTTGAAGAAGAGAAAGGGCTCTTGGTAAAAGCTGAAGAACGAAAGAAAGAGGACTTGGTCCCTCAGAAAAAAATGGAGGAAACAGCGACTGCAAAACAAAGAGAAACACATGATGACCAGGAAGAAAGACAATTATTTCCCAATTCTGGAAACTGCATGGTAGAAGGTTCTGAGGATGAACAACAATCAGGCCCAGAGTTACAGGAGGCAACAATAGAGGTTGAACCTGCAGAGATGACTTCTGAGGTCTGGGATAAAAATGGAGAAATGGATTCGACAACTCTGACAGGAAAGCAAGACCTCAGAGCTATCCTTAGTAACTCTGATGGGATGGCAGAAAAGCCCATGAATGTCATAGAAGAAGGATCCAGAGAAGGACACTGTGAGACTGAAGTGAAGATTGGGCTGGATATGTTCATTGGAAAGGGAGAATATGAAGGAAGCTGTGAGAGCAGAGAAACTGAAGCCCACAATCATCACTGGAAACAGGCCAATGTAGATGTTGGATCAGAACATGTCAAGGAAGATATGAGAGTCAAGTGTTTTGAAGAGGAGGATTGTTTTCAAGTCCAACAAGAAAAGTCCCAAAGAAGAAAAGAAGAGTCAAATTGTTTAGATTTGGTGGAAGAAGTAGCTTTGAGGGAGGAAAAAGGGGAAATTGGTGACCATTCCAAGCCAGAAAAGAAGTTATGTAGACATGAAGCAAACTGCTATGAGGCATACCCTGAAGTCAGAGTGCCGGCCATTGAAGATAGTGGGAAAGTAGTCATCACTTATGGTGCAAGCGTAGAGACTAACAGGGAAGTGAGAGATAACCATGAAGAAAAAGCTGGATGTGACAAGGAAGGAACCAACATTGTGGACAACTCTACAACACGGGAAAAGGTTGAATGGGATGAGTTAGGACTGGAATATTTTGAGGCCGAGTTAATTCCCAGCACTGAAGCTAAAAATTCAAAGATAGGACCACGAGGAACAACGTCTGACATGGAGCAGGTGGGTTTGCAAGTCACATGGGAAGATCCTGAAAAAAGAGAAGGAACTGAACAAATCTGAGGAGAAGAACGTCTTTGGGGATGGTTTCAGATGTCAGGAATGCATCATCTCCATGTACTGCACGGAAGATGAAAGACAAGCGTTTACTCGGGAGAGATGGCTGGGTTGGAAACAGCAGGACAAAAGGATGGTTCTATCCCAGGTCAGACTGCCTTGATGCAGGAGGGAACTGGTTTCCAAGAAGGAAAATAGTTTGAAAATGAGAGTACAAGAGAGCCAGTTAACCAGCTTACCTTTGGGAAGAGGGCCAACGTGAAGATCTCATCTCCTTTGCTGAAGGAGCCACCTCAACTTCCTAAGAACAGATATCCCAATTCTAAGATCTCACGATCCCAACGAGTCACTTAGCAGCTCTTTCTTCTCTATTTCATTGCCTCTAAACCCAAGAGAACATACCATGACCCCTGGCTGGCCTTTCTTGGTCTGGCAGTGTTTTTGTGAAATTAAATATTGAGTGACCTTTAACGTCGTAAATCTGGTGTTGTTGTTTTCCATTAGTAAAAATGAAATTGTGATTGCTAAAACCCAACAAGCTTTACAATAAAAGTGCGCAATGTATGTTGGACTCGGTTGGGCTACTCTGACCTTTGAGCGTTATATTATCCAAAATAGTAAGTGCAGGCTAAGGTAAAAAAAAAACTAGATTGGTTTAATCACATTTTCATCAGATTAAATGAATTATTTGGACAGCGTTCAATTTATTTCATGTTCTGCCCACCAATAATAACTCGTAGAGGTCTCCCTTTGCTTTAAAATGCAATAATATCTGGATGTTTGAATTCTGCCACCGGCCTGAGAAAAAATAAATTAAAAGTGTTCAAGCCACAGTCAGTAGGAGAATAATTCACTGACTCTTAAGCCTCAAAGCTTCTTATAAAGTTTTATAAACGTAAAGCAGAAGAAACTTCCTTTTTGGATGTTATGGGACGAGAAGGATGGAGATTTGATGTTCCCAGACCTATTTAACACTGAATATAGGTAGTCCTTGGCTTACGACCACAATGGAGCTTGCTCAGTGAGACATTTGTTAAGTGAATTTGCCTCATTTTACAACCTTTCTTGCCACAGTTGTTAAGTGAATCACTGCAGTTGTTAAATTAGTAACACGGTTGTTAAATGAGTCTGGCTTCCCCAGTGATTTTGCTTGCAAAAGGGGATCACATGACCCAGGACACCGCAACGGTCATAAATGTGAGTCAGTTGCCAAGCTTCTGAATTTTGATCAGGTGTTCATGGGGATGCTGCAATGTTGTAAGTGTGAAAAAAGGGCCCTACGTCACTTTTTTCAGTGCTGTTGTAATTTTGGTCACTAAATGAACTGTTGTAAGTCGAGGACTACCTGTAATTCATTTTCAAGTTATGAACAGAAGATGCAACCCAGAGCTTGACACTGTTTTCTAAGGCAAGCGATAATCCCAACATAATCAGAGACCAAACCAAACAACAGAAATTCAACAGAAATACAAATTTATTGTCATCGTTTTCCAGAACAGAAGAAATGGAGAAGACTCAAGTGAAGACATTATAACCTGTCAAGATTAGTTTAGCTCCTGATCTTTAGAGAAAGAAACCCTCCCTCACCCACCCCCCACATTCACTTGCTTTAACCCAGAGATTCCTCCCCTCATTCCATCACCAAACAATCTAAATTCTGAGTTTATTCTTGGCTGGTCCTCTTCTGTGGATGGACCACAAAAGATGTCCTGGGAGATCAAAGGAGAAGAACTTGCTGGCCATCTCTTTGGCAGTAGGATGCTGCACCTCCAGAGAATCAGTGCTGGCAATGACCACATGCCATAGAAGGGATTAGGTCTATCTACACATTGAAAGGGCACCCCCAGCTATTACATCCTTCCCTGTTGGGTCCTTGGTTCTCTCTGAACTGGGTTGTTTAATTACCCAACTAGATAACATCATCAGTGCTAGAAGGGATTGGGGTTTGCTCTCAATTTAAATTCTAGTGGCTTGCCCTGTCAGTGTTGGTGGGAGTGCTCTTGGTAGTTATTTGATTAGGCTGTTGTTTACTGTTCAACTGTTTGACTGAGCTGGTAGCTCCTTGACTGAGGTATTGTTTATTGCTTGATTGTTGGTCTAGTATTAATCTTGGGGTCAACCAGCAACGCTCTCACCAACACTTGACAGGGTATTGCAAGTCAACTTCTGGTTCCTAATCCTAGTAACTCCAAGAAGCATCCAGAGGGAATCGAGACCAGTTTCAAACATATCAAGCTGAAACTCTACTAGATCGGCATGAAACGAATACCAGGAAAACAAATCGCTGCTGTGAAATTGCGTTCTCTAGGTTTCCCTGGAGGAAAAAAAAAACATTTTTGAAATGCAAAAAGTAGAAAGGGCTAGACAGCTGTAGGAGTAGAATAGCGGGAATTGCAGCCGAAGGCAACCATGAATTCCCAGAGGCCGATTTAACATCTGTTGTTGGAGCTCCCATTCAACTTGGCTTCCTGCAGAGCATCTGCAAATCCAAGCAACTCCAGAATTGTCTCCTTCTGTAGCCAGCAACCATCCCAGATAAGTCTTTAAATATTTACTGCATGGAACCTACCCAAGTATTCAAAATGCCGCAGTCTCTCCTCCACTTTATAATACAACCTGACATGCTACAATATCCTTCTCGGCTTACCCTACTTTCAACCGCTGTAGACTTCCTGACAATTCACAATGTTATAAGAACCATTCTTGGCATCATCCACTGAAAAGTAAAGACCCAGTGTACCTTCTACTGCTAAAGCAACAACTGTAACATACAAGTGCACCAAAACAGGGCAACTTTCTAAGAGAGGCCTCAAAAAGCACACCTTCCTTTCGAACGGAGCTGTTCTTCAGCCCTTGGTGCTCTCTGAGTTTGTTTTCTTGCGGATGTTTCATTACCCAAACTAGGTAACTTCATCAATGAATGGATGATCTGTTCACCGATGATGTTACCCAGTTGGGTAATAAAACATCTGCAAGAAAACAATGAAGTTCAAAGAGCATCAATGACTCCTCATTTCAACTCTGAACTACCGATATTCTCCTTTATCGGTTCTTCAGTCCATGCTCTGCAAAGGTAAATGCCATATAGAGATCTTGTTCCAATCATTGCACATTAAATTCGACATTACACAAACCGTCCAACATACTTGACTAAAACCCAAGCTCTACAAGGGATGTTTGCTTTAGAACAAATCAGAGTTCACAGTCTCCAACTAACCCATACTGATGGCTTTAATTCAGGGTTGTAAATACTGCTAATGACTAGATATCCCAACAGCCATCATGGGCATACCACTGGTACAGAACTGAAGAAGCTTCTTGGATGAGAAGTGAAACATCTTCAAGAAAAACATAGGAAGTCCAGTTGCCTTTTGCAAAAACTCCTTTGGGACAACCATGTGCTGGATGACTGAGAATCTCCATAGATGCTGCTCCTGACTGGCACACGTGTCACTACTGTGACAAAATGGACACTGAATGCATTTGAGTGACGTGGGTGCATGCTAGTCTCACCCACCCAAACTAACATATGGGAGAAGACTTGTCTGGGCCATACTTTCTACCCTGTTCTGAATTTTGTTTTTCATATAGACACTTTCGTCCATTTTGTTCTCTTTATCCCATTAGATATAATGGAATCTGTATCACGTATCCCCTCTCAATTGGAGAAATTTGGAATAATTTTTCCACCTTCTGTTCCTACACAACACTGTATATTTATTACAAATCAGTGGAAATTAAAAAAAATATATCTTGAATGATTCTAATAAGAAGCATGTTGGCTTAAACTTAACACTCCAGCAGTGATAAGCATACATAATTTATCCAGTGTGTGCATATGTTTTCTTGCTCACATCTTCTCGGTCCTTCTGGCCAACAGCAATTTTCCGTGACAGAAATAAAATAGGCAAAGGATTGTTTCCCAGAAGACAAAACTGCCTGTTTTGAAGAACTCCTTTTTAGAAAATCTGTTTGGAATTTCTGGAGTCCTTGGTGCTCTCTGAGCTTGGCTGTTTGATAGCAAATGTTTCATTACTCAGCTAGATAACATCAAGACACATAGAGATGAGGCATATTTACACACCATTCAAAGGAGACAATAACAAAGCTAAGAAGGAAACAAAAAAGACCAAAACAGTCCTCTCCAGCAACCAACACCCAGATAAGCAGGGATTACCACCAGACAAACAAGAGGGAAACAATACCGTAGTAAAGAAACAACCAAGGAGAAACCACAATCCGACCAAAACTGGAAGGGCAAGCTACTATATATAAACAGGGAGAAAACCCCATTCCCTTCTAGCATATATATAAACAGGGAGAAAACCCACTCCCTTCTAGCACTGATGAGGAGAGCACCGAGGACTCCATAGTACAAAACTGAGCTATTGATATTCTCTATTGTTGATAGCGCAAGACTCTGAGTAGCATTTCAATCAATTACCCTTTAACTCTACTCCTACTGAAGGCGCAGGGGGAGAGCTCACCCCAGGCATTTTCTCTGACCTCCTTGATCCATGGGCTTCATGCCGCAAATGTGCAGATCAACCAGAGGGATGGAAGAAGGCCCCCAAATCTCCCTGCTCATTCCAGTGGAGAGCAATCCGGTGCCCAAAAGACAAATCTAGCCTTTTTTTTTTTTTTTGAAAACCCTGCTAAAGCAAAAACGGGGAGACAGCAGAGATTTTTCTTCCATTCTGTTAAAAACAAAACTCATCAGCATCAGAGTTTGAAACAAGACTGAAAGAGGCAAGGCAAAATAAACATACAACCAGGAATTAGAATTTAATGCGTGATGGAGTCCATAACAACACTTAAATACAATATAGACAACATTGTATTTTTGTGTGTGTGTCTGTGTGTGTATACACACACAAATAAAACTATAAGGCTTTTTGTTATAAAGCTTATCACTCATAAGGCGGCTGCTGCTGCTGCTGCTGCGGCTAAAATGATGTATTTCCAAAAATCTATTCTTTCTCTTCTAAGTCTGTGAGATTTCTTCCGATTTGTTCCATCGTTTCCGCTGAGCGTGTTAGGTATGGAAATAACGCGGTCATTTCACAATGTCCTAATCTCTAAACGTAATTTTCTTTTCATGTCCTTAAAATTGACCTTTTTTTTTTTTTAAAGTATCTGTCAATCAGTTCTTATGAAAGCAGTTTCAGTCTCTGCTATCTTAAACTACTACTTGACCGGCTTAGGCCAGATCCTTAGCAGATCACCTCAGTTCCAAAGGGATCTCACCAACGGCAACAATTCACAGACCATAAAAGAGAACAGGCCACTGTTTCTGTCAGTGTTTTGCTGGGAAAGATGTGTCCCCTCTCTTTTCATGTGCCCCTTCACAGTTCCTTAAACCTGGGCTTCTTTTGGCACCGGGTTTTGACTTTGTTTCGCTGATCCTAGATCACTCTTCTGGGAAGTCTCCTGAAGTCTCTAAGCAGAGGTCTCCAGGCTTGCACAGATCCTGATTAACTCTCCATTGAGGATGTGAGTGAAACCCACCACATGAGGGAAAGATAGAAGTGAAGAGGAAGGAGGATAGCAGTTGGCAAGAACTGGTTAGATAAAGCCTGCTGCCTTCAGGAGGTGTTAGATTAAGGAGGTTGGACCTGGAAGAGAAAACAAAATAGAGTCATATCCAACGACGTTCGTGGTGGTGCCCACTGGTTTATCATTAAGAATACAGCTTGGGAAACAGCAATGTTGAACTTCTAGGAACCGACTGTGTCTCTTCAAGCAGCCACAGCATTTTTCAACTCTCACAGAAGCTTGAAAAAAAAGAGCTGGCTGGTTTAATGAAGAGCAGAGATACTACCTTGACGTGAGACCCAAGGTGTTTGGGGCCAAACATTTTTGAAGTCTGTACAGACCTGATTTATTTTAATGAGGGTCATGTCCTTTGTCAGGACTTCATGGAATGTCTGCAACAAGATGGCGTTCAGCGTGATTAAAGATTTTTCACATCTTATGGGGATGGACGTATCTACACCCTGCGCTTGATTTTAGAAAGGGTGAAGCAGTTTCAGCAGGACAGATACATCTTGATGCTTGACATCACTGCTGAGCAAAAGCAGGTTTAATATTAACAAGCTGGCAAAGCAATTAGCAAACAGTTAGAGACTGGGAATTGCAGGCCTCAATCAGAAGCCAATGAACCGGAAGCAAATGCTAAGATGGTGGCTTATACCAGTAGCTGCCAATTCTCAGTCTCTAGGAGAACTTGAGAGACTTCTTCCACAAGGCCAAGGGTTTAGGTCTTTGTCCTGTTAGGAAAAGAGAGGATTGTAACTTAGGGCACATCTAAAGGATAAAGTCTGGTTTACTTGTGTTGGATTCCTGCAGGGAACCAAAAGTCCATTGCTAATGGAATGGGACATACCCAGCAACTTTTCACATCTTCCACCCCCAGCCATAAATTATTCTTCACTAGCTAAAACTTTGACATGTGAGGGTCTGGAGGGGGTCCCACCAAGGAGCCCTGGGGGCACAGTGGTTAGAATGCAGGATTGCAGGCTAACTCTGCCCACAGCCTGGAGTTCGATCCTGACCATCTCAAGGTTGATTCAGTCTTCCATCCTTCCAAGGTCGGTAAAATGAGGACCCAGATTGTTGGGGGCAATACGCTGACTCTGTAAACATCTCAGACAGTGCTATAAAGCACTATGGAACAGTATATAAGTCTAACTGCTATTGCTATGAGATACTTCTGTTCAGAGTCCAGCCAATGGCTAAGCTCTTTGTTCAAGATACCTTCTTCCATTCTCCTTCTCTTGATGGATTTTCATCACATTATCATCTGCCAACCAACAGCCTGTTATAAACCAGGTTCATCTAAACCACGGGTCTCCAACCTTGGCAACTTTTAAGACTTGTGGACTTCAGCTCCCAGAATTTCTCAGCCGGCTGAGGAATTCTGGGAGTTGAATCCCGAAGTCTTAAAGATGCTAAGGTTGGAGACTCCTGCTCTAAATTCAATGTCATCCAACAAAGTGTCATGGCAACTCTCAGGATTTATAGCCAGAAGTCTAATCTTTCTTAGGACAACTGACTGGCGAAAACATCCACATAAAATAGGTATGTGAAAGTTGACTTATGCCTTTCCACAGGCCCTGCCAGCATGATCTAGTTTTTAAGATGATGCACCCTTGCTGTTGGGAGGCAGACTTCCAATGGATGCCAAGTGAGAGAATATGGGTTATCAGAAAGTTCCTCCACCTGCACATACTACTTTGAGACTGTTCGTTGCATTCTACCTCCGGAATTGGGGAAAGCATTCCTCAATTTCTCCATGATATCTTCTAGGCACAGGCTGACATCCTGGGACTTTGCCTCTACTTCATCTGTGAGAAAGGACAAAAAAAACAACGGTCATGCCCACACGGCAGAAGAGACCAGAGACCTGGAAACATCCCATGCTACTCCAACTGCCAAAGACTCTTGGGGCAATATATGTGAGCCTGCTCTCACTTTACATTGCAAAGGCCCCTCTCCTCCCTCCTTCAACACAGTTGCCTTTATTGTTTTACTTCCCAGACACTAGTTGAGAAGGGTGGCTTTAAACACCGAGTCAGTGTCCCTCAACCTTAGCAATTTGAAGAGGTGTGGACTTCAACAGGTGCTTGGGCCACCAAGCGTCAAAATGAGGAACCCTGAGAGAAAATGCTTTACCGAGAAGAAGGAGAAACTTCACAGCGTAACAGAATCTACCTGCCATTTCGGTGTTGGGCGTGCTTGCATCTTTTTCCCTCGGCTGACTCCCTTCGGATGGTTGAGGAGAAGAAGTCACGGTGGACGTGGCAGAGCCTTCTTCTTTGGAATTGGCTGGTGGCTGGGGAGATGGCAAAGAAAATGAACAAAGGCCGGCAGCAGCTTTTGAAATTAAGCTAAGCGCTCTCTGTGAGCCTCGGGTGGCCAAACTGCGTGCGTGAATCTCATCACAAGAAAACATTCTATAAAAGAAAAATAGCACATACAGATTACGGTAACGTATCCAGACGTGTTAACGCACGAGGAGGCAGAAATTAAGATGGTCAAGAAAGGACTGTGTTTTCGTTCTCTTTTCCTGCTTGTGGGTTAAATATCAGATTTGCTGGAGGAAACGGGAACAGCATACAGTATCTGAACAATTTGGCGAGGTTTGCTCAGAGCGGGCACCCTCCAGCTGCATGGGCTTCAGTGCTAAAATACTCAGCCGCGGCATTCATAAAAATGGCTGGGGGAAGGTTGAATTGGGCCTTGATCCTATCTAGGCAGGTTCCGAATTAATGGATAAAGATGGAGGAATGCATAATTCAGGTAAACAATAGTCCAACATCTCAGCAATAAGATGGTGGATCAGGCTGAGTGAGATGTTGTGGATTCTACTTTCCTGAAAATACATAAGCAACGACTGGAAAGTTTTGGCCAACGACAATAAAGCTGCAGTCTCAATGAAGGCCTTCATACGGATCCAAGGTCGGTCTAAATGAGTTTCAGGGTAACTCACAACAGAGCGTTTGGCTATTTCCCAATTCCTCCTACCCACAAACCCACTCCTTTCTACGGAATAAACACTGGTATGCAGTTACCTGAAGAAGCAACTCCCTCAGACGGTGCAGCTGAGATTCTAACTGCTTGTTGTGATCCTCCAGGATTTGCATCCGGGTCTCGAGGCGGCTCTTGTGTTGTCGAAGAATGCGGGCTTCGGCTAAAAGCTCCTCACTAGGGGGATCCTGCGCTGTTTCCGGAGCTCCTTGTGCAGACTCAGCGGCCTCTTCGTGCTTCCACTTCAGACGTCTCAGCTCTCCCTGAAGGATCCTGTGGAAAGGAATCCGTTAGAGCCACCAGATCTCAACTGCTAGACGGCAGCAGAGAATTAAGGGTTGAACTATGGCAGGGGTGTCAAACTGCCGGCCCGCGGGCCAGTCGCGTCACGTGGAAGCCTCACCCACCCCATTGCCAGCACTGGCAAAACCGGCCCGATACGTTGCGCGACGTCACATGACGTCGCGAGTTTGACATGCCTGAACTATGGGGTTGTTGATGCGCTCTGAGCTTGGTTACTTTCTTGCAGACGTTTCATTACCCAACTAGGTAACATCATCAGTGCGCTGATGGGATGTTACCGAGTTGTGTAATGAAACCTCTTCAAGAAAACAACCAAGCACAGAGACCACAGCACCGGGGAGCCCACAATTAACATTTTCTCTATCTCTTTGTTGCTATCTAGCGTTTGAATTTTTGCAATCTGGATCTAGTAACCCTAGATCCAGCTGAGGGACCAACAACAACCCACCAGATCAGGGGCTTAACATGACCTTTCCTAATGGGATCCCCCCCACACACACCGATTAATTTGAGTTCAAAGAAAATTCCAGCCTGGAATATTTACTGGGGATTATGGGAGTTATTTTTGGCTTATAACTCCCTGTATATTTAGAAACGCAGCTCACGTGAGGTTTGCCATGTTGTGCTTCAGAGGTTACATTATCAGATGGTTGCATTACCAGATCTGGTCTTCAAAAAGTCAGATAACCAGAAGGTAGCAGCAAAAAAATACAGAAAACCAATTCTTAGCTGCTAAGAATTAAGGATTGAACAGATAAAATAACTGCTATCTGGCAGTTGCCCTGATTTTTGGAAGACCAGATCTGATAGACCTCAGTTATCACTCAGTTATCAACAGCAGCTCACCTGTTTTCATCCTCCAGGTGGGCCAAAATTCTTTCCAGTTCCCCTTTATCATCTGTCCTGGTGCCATCCTGGGCCTCTTGGCTGGAGATTGGTTCTCCGTCTGTGACAGGGCTGGAATGGCGCAAAAGATATTGATCTTCATCCCTGTTGTGAATAGAGCTATGATGAGGTTGAGGTAGTGGAGAGAAGAGCAACTGGGTTGTGAGGAAGAATGTGCATCCATGGAGAATGCTAAAGGACCAAAGCTTCCATGAGACAAAACAGGAGGGAACATCTGAATTCTCATGCATTTGCCAGGGTCTATCAACCCCAGAAGGATCATATCTGCCCCAGGTTTCTTTGAAGGGTTTTCTCCGCTGATCAGCAGTATCAGAAAGAAGTAGCACCAGCAGGATACATTGTCCTGGGGCCAATTTGGAAAGTGGAAAGGGCAATCTGATGCTCCCAATGTCCAACTGGACACCTGGCAGAGGAAACGGCCCACCAGAGGATGCTCAGCCTAAAATTTTCTCATACTCAGAAGAGACACAGTGAAGAGAGGGATGGTTTACTCAAGACCTCACATTAGGCCAGCCAAATCAATCTAACCAGACAATTAGGCATTATTTTCCATCTTTGCAAGATGAGTTGGCTTAATGGGCTAGATTAGGTTTGTGGGCTGAGAAGGATCCAGGTTGCCCAAAAAAAAACAAACCCCGGATACGCAAAATAAGAGATGAAAAGGGAAAAAAAGGTGAGAAGTTGGCAACTCACAGGCTATCATCTGGAGAAAGATTGTCATTGTAAAAAGAAGAAGTCTGGCTTTCCATCTCTGCAAGCCTACAAGAGAAGAAAGCAGAGTCAATGGACAAGGCTTATCCCCCTTTGTCATCTAGGGTTTCTGTCTTTAGTTTTTGTGATGTTTATCAATATGGATTTTTATAGCTGACACCTGCAGTTTTTTACATTGTGGTTGTGTGTGCCACCCGGGAATCACTTTTGATGAGTTAAGTTTGATTAAATTATTTGATTAAAGAACGTTGTCTATCACTTTACTAGCCTAGAGTAGACCAGCTGAGTTTGCCTCTTCTTCCTCTATCTTTTGAACTTCTTCCACTTACTATGTGACCTTGGGATGGATAGGCCCTCTCATTCAGATGAGGGAGGTAATGACCTCAGATATAAATCATATGTCAGACCTGCCCCAATCTGATCCTTTAAGGAAGTAAAACTCTCAAAGTGAAAAGACAAGATGCTACCCTGATTTCCCCTAACCCTCCCTCTGCGGTCTATGCACACATAGCCAATCTAGAACCACCAGGATATTTTGAGAAACGCTGAGGTGTTTGGGCTGGTGAAATTCCACACTCAGGGAAAATGGCCTTGAAGATGCCAGTGCGCCAGTAAGAACCAAAACACTCTGTTCTTCCTCAACTGTCATTTCCCCCCTCTCAATTTCCCATCATAAAGTTATACAGCTTTATTGCCCATTTGTTCCCCCCTCCCTTCCCCAATTGATGACAGAATGCTAGCAAGGGGCCAAGCCAAAGCTGGTGGATCCGACATGATTTGACCCAAGAGGACTGGTGGTTTCAATTTATCATTGCTATATTTTAGAGCTAGGAAGAGAAGCAGGGGAAAATAGGACCAGTCTTGGGTGGAAGATGCTTTCATTTGGGTGGTGAGAGAGATATCAGCTGGCTGGCCTGGGCAGCAAGGTGCCTTAGACTTTCCTGGCCCATTCCTGGTTCCTTCTTTGAGAGGTTCCAAATCTCACCTGCTAGCAAAGTGCTCAATCCGAGAATGGGTGTCAGCATGTGGTAACATCGGAGAAGAGGCTGGCCTGGAAAAAATACCCGAAAGAATGGTAAAATTTTAAATAGCTAACTAGTAGGACATCAATGAAAACATCTGCTACATTCAATTGGACAAGGAAAAGGTCTCTGAGAATCAGTGCCCAACGATCCTGTTTGCATACATAATTTTTATTAAATAAAGTTTTTAACAGAGTTGAAAGATAAACACAAAACAATATAGAACAGAAATGAGGGGAAAAGAGTTGAACACACATAACGGGCTTCCTTCCCCCTCATATCCACCCCTTATTAACCAGCCAATCCAGAAATCACCAGTTCGTTCTTATCCATTTTCAGCAAAAAGCCCATAAAAGGTTTCCAGTCTTTTATAAAAGAGAAGCAGTGTCCCCAAATGCCCAAATTCAGATCTGGTTGCCCAGAAGTGGAAGGCAATAAGATTTCCAGCTGCCTCTCCACTTCCCACTCACGTTTCAATGACGTCGGCCTCCAGCACGGATTGGACTGGCAGGTATCCTCTCTGGGGATGCTTGCTGAAGTACTGCTTGGAACGGAACTTGTTTTTCAAGGTGGTGGCAAAATCCCTCATGTTCTCGCTGGAAGTGGTCTGCGGAAGAACGGATTAAGAGACTGGGACACCTTCAGTCGAGCACGTGACTGACTCCAACAGGAGCAGGACAGATCTTTTGGAAGGTTATAATCAGGACATGCAAAGCAAGAAGCTGTTGAGCTATTCTGAAGGCTGTCTAATAACATCCGCCTCGCAAGGTAGTCCAGGCAAGAAGTACACCCGGGAGTACTTGTTCTACTTTATCGTAAGGTTACATTAACTAAATCTTGCAAGTCTGAAGATCTCTCTCTCCCCCCCCCTTGCCTTTTTGTTGTTGTTAATTGCGAAGTCGTGTCCGACCCATCGTGACCCCATGGACAACGTTCCTCCAGGCCTTCCTGTCCTCTACCATCTTCAGGAGTCCATTTAAGCTCACGCCTCCTGCTTCAGTGACTCCATCCAGCCACCTCCTTCTCTGTCGCCCCCTTCTTCTCTTGCCCTCAGTCTTTCTTTCTGTGACGTTTGCCCTGCCCTCGTTCCTTCTGTAGGCTAAGTTGCCACTTATCCAACAATTGCCTTGGGTTGCAACAATTCCCCCCGTCTGCTGAGGTCATTCCCATGGACCATGATTAAAAATAGCCCTTGAGAAGTAAACTATTGGTTGATTTGATTGGTCAATTTTGAGAGACTCACACACACACACCCCACACACGTTTCAATATTCAATTTGCTGAGGTCAACCTGCCCGAAATCCAGGTTGCGCACTCATCTGAAGTATATTTCACTGGATTCCCCAGTCCTTATTCTTGCCTTATTCTTTTTTCATTAAATAAAAGGAGAGGATCAGTAATAAGTAGCCAATTGTGATGTGCCCAGGCCTATGCAGGACTGCACAACCGGCCCCATAAGGATGCTAAGCAGGGCATCGCTTAAGCAGCGCCCCAGCGCACTGCGCACAGTTCATTGCAGACAATGCCTTCCTTCTCTTACCATCGTGTAGTATTCCATGATGGGATAATGCAGCTTGTTGCCTTTGCTGGCTCGTCCCGTCAGGAAACATGCCTGGCAGATGTCCACATTGAACTGCTTGAGGCTGCGGTATCTGGAGCAACCGGAAAATTGTTCGCTGTTACCCACCAGCCTGCCAGCTGAATGGCCCTTTGTGTTTTTTTCCATACCTGAAACCTTTGATGGGGCATTGCCGGCAGATGGAGCACTTGGTCTGGTGTTTTACTTGCTCAGCAATGGCTACTCGGTGAAGGACGGCCAGCCACACCATTGACTGTGGCTCTAAGTTTGCCCACTCCAGAAACTGAGNATCATCATCATCATCATCATCATCATCATCATCATCATCATCATCATCATCATCATCATCATCATCATTATTATTATTATTATTATTATTATTATTATTATTATTATTATTATTATTATTATTATTATTATTATTATTATTATTATTCCAAAAGGACGGTACCCTGATTCTCTGGCTATGTAACAGTTTACTGCAGCTGTAGGGGACCTACCCCCAAGGCTTTGCAATATATAAAATCTACCATGCACAAGAGGTCCTTCGCTTAAAACCATTCATCCTTGCACCTGCCATTTTGATTTTTTTCAACCCCTCCCACAGATACCCCTGGCAGAAGCCCCACCAACCTCACTTACAAAGCGGAAACAGCTGCGCACACTGGGCTCCACGTTGCTCCCGCCAAATGCCGCCACTTCCCCCAGCTGTCGCGGGACTTGGATGGCTTCGTGGAGCAAGATGCCGAGATGCCTCTGGTCGCAGAGCCCGCTGGAGTTGGCCACCTGGCTAAAGAGATCTGAAAGCAGGAAGGAAGAGGAAGAGTGGCTGGAATCACAGCCTCCCTCGATGCCATCTTCCTGGTCTCATAGGAAGAAAATAAGCTTGACCCAAACCTATGTCTGAACTGTTGAAATGCGGAGGGGAAAAAATTTCAGTTCTGTGAAGGCTCCAATTCTTTGGAAAAAGCCACAACGGCTGATATGTGAGCATGCCTAGTTTTGGCACAGCCACAAATGTTGGCAGTCTTTTGCAAAGCTTTAGATTCTGGGGGTCTTTTCATAGCAAGAAAATAGCCATGGAAATCTTGCATGTAGCAAGGGGAAGCTTGATCATGAGGCATCTGTCTTAGGCAGGCTCACGCTGGCTGGGATGGCAAAATATTAAGAAACAGGGCAGCGGGTACCAGCCATCCCAATCCCTGTGCTCTAAATTAGCTTGCTGCCCCCCCCCAAGAAGTGAAAAACATGCCCCTAATCCATTTTGAAACCAGATGGACAATTCAATCTTATTTGGGCAGCCATGTCTCCCAAATCAGATTTATTCTACTGCTCGGTTTTAATAAGGAGTAAAAGTAAAGATCTCCCTATCCAGGTGTGTCCGACTCTAGTGCTCGGGTGCTCATCTTGGTTTCTTGGCCTAGGGAGCCAGAATTGCCCAAAGACATTTTCCGTGGTCACGTGGCCAACATGGCTATACGTCAAAGGCACATGGAACGCTGTTACCTTCTCACCGAAGTGGTAGCTATTCATCTATCCACATTTGCATGCTTTCAAACTGCTAGCTGGTCAGGAGCTCAGGCAAGTAACGGGAGCTCACCCTTTTGCGTGGAGCTCGGGTCTCTACCCCTGGGCTGTCAGCTTTCCAGCTGACAAGCTCAGCATCTTTAACCACTGAGCCATCCCAACCCTCAAGATACTCCTCTCCAGATGCTCCTCCTCAATAAGGAACATCTGGGGAGAAAACAATGGCCTTCTTTAAAACTCCGGAGCATTCCCTAAGAAATTCTCTTCCCTGGAACAGAAGAAGACCTCGAACTGGGAAAAGATCTCCCTCTGGCAGGACGGCCCATTCCGCTTCGCTCCCTATAGTGCTGCCTATTGGTGCAGAAGCTTCCCTCCCCTGCCAAAATTAAGAGCACCCTCCACGCCGGAGAGCTATGAAATATGGCTGCCATCCAGACCAAGGACCGTTTCTTGGATGCAGCTGCCCTTGACTCTCTCTCTTTGCTAAATCTGGAAGCCTCCCCCTCGGATTCCACCAGCCGGCTTCTGCAGAGTGACTCACACTGGAATTTCTCCTTCACCTCCGTGCCGCAGAGACAAGCAATGCCCGTCTTGAAGGAGAGGGCCCGCATCTTCCCGCTGCGCCCACTGGAAGAAAAGGAGCGGGGTGAAACATTCGTCTTCTGTTCCATGATAAAAGCTCCATCTTTTGCTAGCTTGTCAGAAGAACGGGGAGCCCTGCTCGGCCTTCACAAAGCTTCTTTTTATTTAGTCACCATCTGCTTCCTTGCAATTTCCACGCATAGTTCTAAGCCTCCCCTCTGCGGCGAGAGAGAGGAGAAGCGAACAAATTCCAGTTCAGTTCAAATTCCCATGTCCCCCACAAGTCTGAAATTTGTTGGGGTTTTCCCACACTGATAAAAGAAAACAGCAGCAGCCCAAACAATGAACAGATCCTGAGAGAGCCCAGTTGGAATGGGTGAGAATTTTGCTGCCATAAAACCCATATCTTAAGGGGGAGAACCTGCTGGAATTCTTGGCTCCGTGGCTTTAATTTTCCTCTAATAAATGACATTAATATAACTCACTAGATTCTCATCCCTTGGATGAACTCCTTCCAGTCTTGGAAGGAGAAGCATGGAGGATGGTTTGTTTTATGGACAGTGTGCAAAACGATTGATTTATTTTATTTATGTATTTGAAAAATCTACAGGGCTGACCACTCCCTCGCAATGACTTTGGCTGGCTTGCAAGCCGTAAAACCCCAATATATATCGGCAAAACTGTCTTCAGGGCCTTATGAAAGAATGTCAAGTTGGGGGCCGGTCTAATTTCCGCAGAGGTGATATTCCAAAAGGAGGGAGCCACCACAGAGAAGGCCCTTCTTCTGGGTCCCACCAGTTGTAACTCCTTAGATGTGGGACTTGCTTCCCTGCTCTAGTGGGTTGGGTGGATGTACTAACCGTCAAGAGATGGTCCCTCAGACAATCTGGTCCCAAACTATGGAGCTCTTTAAAGGTGACAATGCTTTGAGACAGACCTACAGTAATGATCTCCTTCATGCCCCAAGGGTGAAGGAGGAAATTAGCACAAAATAATCAATTAAGCATGAAACATAATAAAAACGATAGTAAAAGTAAAGATATTGTGATGGGATGTGTCTATGAAAAGGGAGACGGTGTGATGGACTACAGGGAAACAATGGCTTCTTGTCCTGCCTTGAGGTGCTTTGGAGAATAGGTTGATTGTGAAGTGGTATATAAGTCTAAGGGCTATTGCTTCTGATATTCTTATAATCTACCCTGGTTTGGCTTGTTTCTTACCTTAGGTCTTACCTTAATTCTGTTGAACCTCACCCTCCTTTGTTAGAATACCAGAATATATTATATACTGATAAGAAGCTTTGGGGTTTTTTATATAGCATTGTGTAGTATTTGTGAAAAAAAATTTTTTTATGTTGAAAAAATAATAAAATTTTATATTGAAAAAAAAAAAAGAAGCTTTGGTGTAAATCCTTTAAGAGACGTAATGCCGTTATTTGTGCTAAACCCCTCCCCCCATTCTTTGCCATAACGATTTGCAAATTTTTCTCCTCTCCTGATTGAAAATCAGTTACTTCTCAGCAAGTAACAGTCCCAAAGAGAGACGTTTTAACAAGCTTTTGTGATGGCTGTCTGTCCCCAGTACCTGTCAAAAACATTGAGCAGCCAATTCAGGCTCATGTCCACACAGAGAGGGACGTTGACCAGAATGCCTCTTTCCTCCTCCAGCCGCTCATACAAAGAGGTCAAGCAATGGATCACTTCCACCACGTCCATCACGTGGTCACTGGGCTGCAGCTCATGCTCATTAAACAGCTCCAGGGCTGTTGCCAGGGTCACCATGTCCACTGGTGAAAAAAAAAAGGAGGGTCAAAATGAGGAGATTATCATGGGAGACAAATGAAGAAAGCAGACACAACACATCCCAACAAAAGAGAATCCACAGGGCTGAACTGCCAAGTTCTGGTGGTTTTCTGTCGTTTCATTACCTTACTAGGAGGCATCATCAGTGTGAGGGAGTGTGAAGTTTGGTGCCTGTTTTTATATATAATATCTTGCTTTGGAGGTGTAATTTCCTCCTTGGTGGTGCCTGGGTTGTTATTTTCTGCCTGATTGTTGTGATCTTTTATTTCCTGAAAGACTACAGCACTTCAGCAGCCCACATACTGCTAAGTGGGGATCAGCACCAGAAAAACAAGCTATTGTGAGATGCCCTTGTTTGTGAGCTGCATGAAAGTTTAGCTATGGCTATATTCTCAAGGGCAGATAATTTCCCAGGGCTGGGTGCAGCACTTTCAAGACACAAATAATTTGGAGCTTCGGGGAGATCTTGCTATTTTAGAACAGGCAGAGTTTGAACCGGGATGGGAGACTCCTTCCACAAAAAAGGGGCTGAACCGGAATAATTTTCCTAACCCCGCTTCCAAAGCCAGTAGGAGAAGTTACAGGTGCTTAGACAATATCCACCAATGTCTGTGGAGATTCTCAATCCTCCCGGTCATGGTTGTCTCAAAGTTGCTTTTCCAAAAGGCAACTGGACTTTCTTAGTTTCTTTTCTTTGAAAACATTTTTGCTTCTCATCTGAAGAAGCAAAAGGAGAACTGAAGAAGCTTCTTGGATGAAAAGTGAAATGTTTTCAAAGAAAAAAAAACAAGAAAGTCCAGTTGCCTTTTGGAAAAGCACCTTTAGGACAATAGCCACCAAGAAAACCTTGTCCATCAACCCTGTGTGTGGAGTAAGCAGGGTATGCTCTCTACCAGTCTACAGTGAGAAAGATTTCCATCTTCCATGCTCTTTCCCATCCTTTTTCAAAATACAATTATGGAAGCCCGTGGACCTCTACTATCCACACAACGCTATCAAGTAGGAGATGGACGTGCAGACAAGTCAACACACGCACACCTCCTTGAAGGACACACATACTAAGCTCACAGTGCAGACCGATCTGAATTCGATCAGAGGCAAGTACAACTCGAGTGGGCAGAAGGAGCACCAAAGGAATGGCGGGGCTTACGTCTCAAAGCCTTCTGCACCCGCCGTAGCTTCATGGCTGTACGGTAAGCAGAATACTTGATGTTGTTCAAGTCGGCTGAGAAAACAAAAAGGAGACAAAGAAAGGAAGCCATCGATTTCATGTCGTTTCCCCTGACAATTGGAGAGCCTTGGCTCCCCAGAATAGTCTTCTCCTTCTTAGGACCATCCAAACACTGCAACTCCTGGGTTTTCTCAGCAGGCACGCTGCCTGGGAATTGTAGCCATAATATATTTTGGGGTGACGTGCAGGGAAAGATTGTTCTACAGTTTATAGACTGGCATTTCCCACTGTCCATGACACGGCATGGCAGGCAGTTCTCGATTAACCGTTCAATGTTACAAAGGCACCGAAAAAAGTGATTCATGACCAATTCTCACTTACAACCGTTGCAGCGTCCCCATGATCACGTGATCAAAATTCAAACGCTTGGCAACTGACTGGTACTTGTGCCGGTTGCAAGGTTCCCGGGGTCATGCGATCCCCGTTTGCCACCTTCTGACAAGTAAAGTCGATGGGGGAAGCCAGTTTCGCTTAACAGCCGTGTTACTAACTTAACAATGGTGGCAAAAAAGGGTCATTAAAATGAGCCCAAACTCCTTAACCAATGTTTCACTTCGCAATCAAAATGTTGGGCTCAATCGTGATGGTCAGGCGAGGATTTTCTTACCCAGCGTTTGGTATAATTCAGTCATCTTTGGATGGTCCCAACATGTTGTCTGGGCTTGGTGGCTGGAAAAAAAAAGCATAATAAACCAAGTCATAAGGCTACTTTCAACTATAATTATACATGTCACACAGTTTTTTACATCACCACAATGTAAAAAAGATGTTGAGACTCTAGAAAGAGTGCAGAGAAGAGTAACAAGGATGATCAGGGGACTGGAGGCTAAAACATATAAGGAACGGTTGCTGGAATTGGGTAGGTCTAGTTTAATGAAGAGAAGGACGAGGGGGGACATGATAGCAGTCGTCCAATATCTCAGGGGCTGCCCCAAAGAAGAGGGAGTCAAGCTATTCTCCAAAGCGCCTGAAGGCAGGACAAGAAACAATGGGTGGAAACTGATCAAGGAGAGAAGCAATCTAGAACTAAGGAGAACTTTTCTGACAGTGAGAACAATTAACCAGTGGAACAACCTGCCTCCAGAAGCGGTGAATGCTCCAACACTGGAAGTTTTTAAGAAGAGACTGGACAGCCATTTGTCTGAAATGTTATAGGGTCATAATGATAATAAAACTTAAATTGGACGCTTGGATGGAAACAAATAACATGAGTCCCGGACTCAAACAAGTAACACAATACATCTTGGGCTCCTGCAGAATCCCCACTGAGAACATAACTGATTAGTACAGGAATAAAAAAAAATCAACCATATTGATTTCTGCAAAGGGCAGAATGAAGGTTTAAAGAAAAGGATACGGCAAGAGGGCTGAAGGTTTGCTAAGAATAATGAAGGTCACGATGGAAGAGGAAGCTTCCTAAGGCGTAGCCTGATACTCACTTGATGTAGTAAGGGACTTTATTGGGAGAAATAGCTCGTTCCCAGGGGACCTGGACTGAGGCTGCAAAGGAAAAACAAGAGAATATTTGTAGCTCAAGGTTGAACTGTGGGGTCCTTGGTGCTCTCTGAGCTTAGTGGTTTTCTTGCAGACGTTTCATTACCAAATTAGGTAACATTATCAGTGTTAGAAGGGAGTGGGGTTTGTGGAGAGGAGGAGGAGGAGGAGGAGGAGGACTGTGGGGTCCTTGGTGCTCTCTGAGCTTGGTGGTTTTGTTGCAGACGTTTCATTACCAAATTAGGTAACATCATCAGTGCTAGAAGAGAGTGGGGTTTGTAGAGAGCAGGAGGAAGGGAAGAGAGGGGGCTGTAGAGTCCTTGGCGCCGTCTGAGCTAGCTAACATCATCAGTGCTAGATCTGGGCAGGGTTTGCTCTCATTTTATGCCACCGGTATATAAAATGCCACAAGAATATAAAAAGAAAGCAAATCCCCATTAAAACAACAACAACAACAGTGCACCTACTCGAGAGGAAGTGTTGTGATCCTGGCCCAAAGTCCCGGTGGGCATCTTGAAGATGCTTCAGGCGGTCGTTGATGGAGACCTGTGCAGAAGATGGACCCATCAAACTAAGTGGTACGAAAAGTTCAGCCTTTTGGTCTGAGCAAGCAGGTCATGGCTGAGCACCTTGGAAGCCAGGTGCTCTACCACTGAATCCCCACCAGAGTGGGGAAGATGGGAGTTGTAGTTCAGCATAGCCCAAACGGGACAATGGTCACAGGGAAAGCTGAAGTGGGGTTCCAATGAAAACATTCTCAGCAGGTAGCTACCAAGTCCACAGGTCTATATTTTGGGAAGATGGGAAGGGGAGGAGGACCTGAGGCCGGTGTCAAAAGCAGACCAGACTAGGCACCATGTTGACCCAAGCCCTGTCCTGCCCCTTTCTCACCTGTAATTGTTTCCAGCGTGTGTTGATCTGTTCTAGAGCACGGGAGTTCTCCATGGACAGATGAACATCAGAGATAGCCAGCTGATGTGCAAGGTCATTCACAAGTTTCACTCCATCTTTCATGGGGGAGAGCTCCTCTTGGAACAACTGGGGAGCCACATCAGCCCAAGAAATAGTAGTGAGATCAAAGGTGGGGGTGGGGATGGAGAGACAGAGACAGAAAGCAAGCAAGCAACTAATCGGTAACCTAGATCAATGTGCCTGACATACCATCTTGGTCTCTGCCAAGCTGCTGACCTCCAACTAGTAACTCTGTGATTGCATAGCATGATCTAGGGATTGATATGTTGTGTGAATTCAGTCATTGTGGTTTGTTCAACAAACCATCACTAAGCAGAGGAATGCCCAAAGTATAGAACAGCAATTCTGTGAAGCTCATGAACAAACTTTTTTCTGTCCTCAGGGACATTTTTTTGCATTTGGGAAAAGTTGGGGCAGTAAGGAATCAAATGGATGCCTTGCAGCGTTGAAAGCATCTACTTCACTCCTTGAAACTCCTGGGTTCTTCTCCACAAACTCTTACTCTACTGATGTTTGGCACATATCACATAAAACACTTCTGTCTTCAAAGTGGTAAATGCTCTACAGCCCTGATTCAGCAGAACACTGGACCCTCGTTACTTTATGTGCTTGTAGAGTTAGTGCCCTATTGCACATGAGATGTTGAGTCTACAGTGCTTTCATCTCCCTAACCTTCCCTCCAGATCACCTGGACAGGTACAGGATGAGTTACGAAGATTACCTTGGTGGCCTGGATATGCTCCGGCAAAGAATCAATGAAGAGATCTCCAATGGGTTCCCAGGTCTCTTGCACACTTTCAGCTTGGTTGAGGGTGGTGCTCAGCTCCTCCATGGTCCCTTTGATCTCCAGCAGCTGCTCTAGGGTCCTTTCAATGTGACGGTGCTGGTCAACACAGCGGGCTGTTAGCTTCTCCCATAGTTCGCTGGCCACCGTTGCCTGCTTCCACACAAAACGGCTGATGTTCTGGATCCGGTGTCTTGGGGAGACATCTAGAAAAATAGCATCAAGGAGGGTGAAGACCTGATGTTAAGTTTCCAGTAATGCAACTGCGCCATCAGAAAACCCGATGGACTTTCAACAGTCAGAGCAGAACATTAGAAGAACTTGTAGGATCAGACCAATGGTCATCTAGCTGAACATTTTGAATTATACAACGGTGTTCAGAAACTCACAAGCATGGAGAGGAGGGTGATCACTCTCTTCCACTTGTGATTACCAGCAGCTGGCATTTAGTTTATGCTGCTTATGATTCAGGAAGTTGTACATATTTCAGTGATAATTAAATTAGCAGTAGATAAAAATAGAAGGCAGACAAGGTTTGGGAAGAAAAAGAAGCAGGAGGAGATGGGGTGGGGGAGAAAGGAAGATTGGATAGCATTGTCTTCACCATGGTTCCAGGTTAACATCCACAAATGTACACATTTCGTCTGCATGGAGGGTTGGGTCTGCTGAGATTATGATACCAGAAGACTCATCTCATAGATACAGCAGAAACTTGCCTTGCATTTAATCTCAGGTTCAAATGTGAATAAGTATAAAAATGTATTTACGTGAAAGGGGGAAAAATCTGTGGACAGTGAGGGGGAAAAAAACCACAACCTGAACATTCAATGAAGACAGAGCATAGCTGATGGATGTAGAATGAGAGATAATGATTTGGAGAAGAAGAATGGAATGGAATAATATCCATGAGAAGATCATAGCTAGCTGGCTGGCATCCCAGAGAAGAGACTACACAACAACTATTTTGAAGTACTGTGCCTGAAATAACTGGCTATCAATTATTCGGGTCCACTAGGCTTCCTAATTCTGAATATTCCATTTTCCTACTTACTTCAGAAAAGTTCTTATTATTCTGGGTAACCTTTTCCCACCAAAGGTCTTTTCCTGGGCTGGGCTTTTAAGCTATAGGCTATTAATAAAGTTCTCCCTAAGATATCCCTTTGGAAGGCAGAAGGGCACTGCTATATCCACTAAGAGATTATTATTATCCGCTGGAGAGATTATTTTTCAAGATGAGAAGTCAGGTTGAAAGACCAATCCACAAACTGATATACTCCACCCGCTGAGCTAGTAGCCTTTTGAAATTCTGAAGACTAAGAGAAAATGTTGAAAAGTACAAGATCAGATGGCTTGAGAAAACGAGCAGATTTGCCAACCTTTGCTGTCAAGATTTACATCTTCCACTTCTTCAAATGGGTGCTGAGTAAGGAAAACTTGAGCTGATTCCAAAACGGAATAAATGTACGGTCCCCGAGACTTCACTTCTTCCATGAAGGCCTACATCAGGGAGAGAAGAGCAGAAGAACTGAAGGGAACCCCAGAAAATATCGGATCCATGCACAAGACAGAGCCCTTAAAGTCACAATTGTCTTTGGCTGAATCAACTCTTTTTGGATCTTACGTACTAACTAGGAATGGCAGCCTTAGGACTCTGGAAAGGGTCAACCTTGTGACTTTCACAATTTAGATTTTGGAAGTGCACTTGAGCACAACATGAGCTAAAGACACATCAGGGGAACGTTGTTGGGTTGATTAAGTTCTACCTCAACCCGTACCTTCTTCTACTTGAGTGACCAGAACAACAAATGGAAGAAAAACCCAATAGGAGTTATTTATAAAAATAGCAAAGGTGGGAAAAAAATGTCCCAAAGGTGCTTTTCCAAAAGGCAACTGGACTTTCCTAGGTTTTTTTTTCTTTCTTTGAAAATGGTTCACCTCTCGTCCAAAAAGCTTCTTCAGTTCAGTTCAGTTTAGAAGATGCTTGGATGACAAGTTGTTGCTTGGATGAGAAGCGAAAGCTTTTCAAAGAAAAAAACCCAAGAAAGTCAGTTGCCTTGTGGAAAAGGGACAACCATGACCTAGATCAAAGGTCTTCAAACGTGGCCCTTTTATGACTTGTGGACTTCAACTCCCAGAATTCCTCAGCCAGGCATGCTGGCTGAGGAATTCTGGAAGTCCACAAGTCTCAAATGGGCCAAGTTTGAAGACCCCTGACCTAGATGATTGAGAATCTCCATAGACGTGGGATAAAAATCAATCAATCAATCAATCAATCAATTAAACAAACAAACAAATTTTCAGCTTTTTCATTCACTGGGGGGAAAAAATCAGCTAAGGAGACAGGGGATTGGAAACTTCTTGTGGATTGTGAGGGCTTTCTCAGATGTCCTGTATGATGCTAGGATTGGTATGGACTGTTGATGCTTACTGTATGCCTCTCTTTCTCCTGCTGTACCAGGGGAACGTCCCCACGGAGTGGTAGCTGGGCAGAAATTTCCTCATCTTTTTGGCTAAGCCAGTCAATGATCTCCTGCAAAGGAATCTGCAGCTTGCCGCTGTGGTCTGAGAAGGCTTCAAGGCGAGCCCTGAGAAGACAAAGAAGATGTTGAACACTGAGAGCATAGAAAAGAGAAGACATTGAAGCCAAGTTACACTTGGGCCTTTTGGAGTTGCTCACCGAAGGCTGTGTGATTTTTTCTTAATCTCATTCCAGCATAGATTCATTTCCAGGGTCATCTGGGGCCCAACAGCACCGTTTGGAGGTTTCCTGTTCAGACTGGCCGGTATGGTGCCATCACGGGCTGTTTTAACCTAAGGGTAAACACAGAGAACTTGGTCAAGGAAGGGAAGCACAAAGGGAACAGAATCAATTTGATTCAGGCATTTGCTCCCCCCCTCCATAAATAAGTTGCTATTTATTTATTTAGCAGATTTATATAGCTACTTATCTCATAGAACGTGACACTGGTTGTTGTAGAACCTCAGGGACAATTAAAACAGTATGACAAGTATTAAAACACTGAAGTACAAATTAAAACTGAAAAATTTGAAAACCAAGATTGCGAGAGAATACCAATCAACTCCTATAATACAGCCATCATGCAGGATTCCCCTGCGATGGGTGATTATTTAGATCTTTGAGTTTTAGTTATGCGTTATTGTGGGCACCCCATGGGCAGATAGGCAGAATAGTATTAGCAACCAAAATTGTGCTTGAATGTGGTAGTCAGAGTTTCAAAGAGGGGAGTACACTTCATGGAGTGATGGAGAGTCAGCAGCTCACGGCAAACGTTTGCTTGGAGTAAAGTTGGTTCACAAGAAAATGTAGGAAAAAATTGTGCACAGCAGTAGATGACTATGCTACCCAGATCATCATATAGTTTTCAAAATGTGGATTCCTTTCTATACGGCGAATAGTATCATGCCTTAGAACAAGCTCTACTCATCATCACTGTCATTGTCAACATCATTGTCAACATTGTCAACATCAATGTCAACGTTGACACCAACACCTACATCAATGTAAACATCACCATCATCACTACCATAAAATGGCTAAGAGATTAGTCAACTGTTGCTTCTTTTTTTACCTCTTCCTATTCAAGTTACAGAATCAATGTCCTAACTATCAGGTTCCAATTATGGAACCTGTGGACCCCATTATGACTATATTTGCCTTATACCTGCCAGGTACCTTGTCTTATCTGATTTTCTTGTTTCAAGTTATTTTAATGAAAAACAAAAGCACAGAAGATACTGTGCAGAGCATCCATCTAGGGCAGGGGTAGGCAACCTTCGCTCTTTTATGACTCGTGGACTCCTGAGCTATGCTGGCTCAGGAATTCTGGGAGTTGAAGTCCACGAGTCATAAAAGAGCCAAGGTTGCCTACCCCTGATCTAGGGAGTATCACCACCTAAGTGCCCTTGGCTGATCTCAAACAATGGAACAGATCTGGGGCTGGTTGATCATTGGACAAAAGGCCATCCCTGGCCGAAGGCTGAAGTGAGAAGTGTTAAAAAAATATCCCAGAAGAAGACATCAGGAAACCACTTCCATGTTCTATATCCCATTTTCCAATAAAGCTATAAAAATGCTTCCATGAAGCCATCAGCAGTTGACCTCAACTCAAAGGAGACTTTACCTTTGCCCACTTTTTCTGTTCAGCTTGTTGCTATTCAACTACAGAACACATACACACTTTGAATTACTTGTTTTCTCTTATTGTGGTTGTTTTTTGACCCAGGTCGTAGTTTGTATTCCGAAGCTTTGACCCAGATTATTATAAACCGAGATGGTCCGAACAGATTTTTGCACCCCTTCCATTTACTCAAAGTTTGCCATAAGGTATTGTAGGCGTTTAAAACTGGGGAAGGGGACCTCAGGAGGGTATTTCACCATTTGTCTGCCATTGTGTTAGCTTCTTGCACTGCCTTTTCTCGGATTCATGTTGGCTTCCCTCTCTGCAGGCTCCCTTGTGCCAGATCGACACAGAGGGAGTCTGGCAACATAAACACCAAACAGCATCATTTCCCCGTTTCAGCTGGGTGCATTTTACAGCAGTGCTTTATTTCAGGGGTGTGCATTCCCCAAAATGTCTACTTTCGATTTTCATACATTTGAGCAATCGCAAACAGAAGTACCCCAATCGGACCAAATGACTTTTCCTTACATAGTGTAGCAAATTTCTTCTCTAACCAAAGAGATTTGCAAGCAAATGACACCTAAGGAAGCACAACACGTTTGTCATCTCGTCTAAGAAGCTGCTTCTCCCGAATCCTTCAATTATCTTTTCTTTTCTTTTTTTTTTTTTTTTTACAAAAACTACCATCAGGCCGTTGGTATTATATGCTAGCCTTTCCCAGCTCAGAGTTGCCTTGAACCGTGAGACGGGCAGCACATAAATTGGATAATAATAACAACGATAAGAGTGGTACCCGTAGTAATTGGTGTCTTTGGTGCAATCCCAAAACAATTGAAGCATCATATTCTCCAAGGCGCCTGAAGGCAGGACAAGAAGCAACGGATGGAAACTGATCAAGGAGAGAAGCAACCTAGAACTAAGGAGAAACTTCCTGACAGTGAGAACAATTAACCAGTGGAACAACCTGCCTCCAGAAGCGGTGAATGCTCCAACACTGGAGGTTTTTAAGAAGAGACTGGACAGCCATTTGTCTGAAATGGTGTAGGGTTCCTGCCTGAGCAGGGGGTTGGACTCGATGACCTCCAAGGTCCCTTCCAACTGCTACTGCTACTTCTTCTTCTTCTCCTTCTCCTTCTCCTTCTCCTTATTCTTATTATTCTTATTCTTATTCTTATTCTTATTATTATTATTATTATTATACCACTGGCATTGACAAAAAACACCATCGGTCAGTTGCAAAAGGCAGCTTCACTTGGACTAGCTCACATCCTGCAACAGTATCTTTAATACCGCCAAACGACATTTGCTAACAATGTCCTTGGGAAGGACACAATAGGTGAATAAAAATATCAAATCCAGTCTGAATATCTGGCTGACTGTATGACGAACCATAATAATCACCTGTCACCTGCTTGTATTTTTTTTTTTTTAATCTGCTGAAAAATATCAACGATGTCAGGGAGGAAAACGGGGCTCCAAAATGGTAGATAGCAACCGGTATTCTTCAGACACCCTATGTTGGATTCAAAGAGGATCCTGGTTTGATTCCCAATGGGAGATGCAGTGGATCTCCGTCGTGTCAATTAGAAAAGCCTTCCTTTTTTTTTTCATTTGGCAATTAAAGAGAGATTTCACTACAAAGACAGTATTACTGCAGAGCAAATACTAGTGACACAGAAAATGGAACACTTTAGTGCTGCTTCCGTCTGCAGTTCTTTGTCCCAAGCGTTTCAAAACAGCTACATTTAAGCATCATCAACTTCTTCATGGAAGGTTTACTTCTGAGAGAGGCCTTATCTGTCCTAATATTCCACAGTCTGCAGGAGCCGGGCTCTTACAAAGCACAAACCCAGTTAGAAATCTGGTTAAGTAGCAGAATGGAGGATTTCTCCAATACGGTCTCCTACCACAGAGGTTGTTTTTTAAAAAAAAAAAAAAAAAAAAATCTTGTTCAAATTAGACCTTGTAACGTTTTACATTATGCCTCTATCACAGGCCATTAAGGAATTATTTTATCAGGGAAGGGAATTTAGAGAGGGGGAGGGAGATGAGCAATTTCACTCAGCAAATTAATGGTTATTAACTGGAGACTTGAAATAATTTTATGCAAAGAGAGAGAGAGCAATAGAAAGGGAGAGAGAGTGAGAGAGAGACATGATAGATAGATAAAACAGATTAAAGAAACAAGATTAGAGAAAGAAGATAATGATAGATGACAGATAGCTATATTAGATAGATGAGAGATAGATAGATAGATATAGATGAGAGAGGTAGATATAGATAGATAGATAGATAGATAGATAGATAGATAGATAGATAAGATAGATGATAGATACGGTAGATATAGGTAGATAGAAGATAGATAAATGATAGACAGACAGACAGACATGATAGAGATGGAGATAGAGATAGCAAAAGGGCCGTTTCAAAGAGTTTCTCCACATTCCAAAAATCTTTCCATGCTAGTAGAGCCCCTATTCTAATTTTGGGGAGCACTGCCCCATTTGTAACAGTTAAAAAGTTTCATTCTTATTCCATGGGGGTATACCCTGAATATAGCCAAAACAGCCTCCCCTTGGCAGAGTTTGCACTACTATGCCCATTTCAAGCCAGACTTGATTTGACACACCACAGCATCGAAAGCAATACCGATTTATGAAAAGAGAGAGAGAGAAAGAAAGAGCTCCAGCTTAAAAAGATGCCCTTTATAAATCATTCACATCAAAGCCGGTGCATCTTTACTGTGGTCCCCTGGGATTTTCCACGTGCCCAAGCAGACTAACGACCTGCTCTGTAACCATTCCAGCTACCCAGAGCCCAAGAGAGAAACTCTTTATCAGAATCCAAATTCTTTAAAGAAGAAGGACAGCAGAAGCAACCTCAGAGGTCAACTGGAAAAGAACCTGACTGGGTAGGAGATCCACAAAAGATATCCACCGTTCGTGCAGAAATGCCAGAATAGCTGCCAGTGCGATGGCTCAGTGTGAAATGGGACGTTCTTCACGTCTTCCTCCCTTGAAATCAAATATTCTTGAGTTAGGTGTATGCAGTTGTCCAGCTTCAGTCTCAAAATATCAGTCGCTTGCTACAACAGAAGTCCATCTGGTTGATCCACTCACCCCTCCCTCATTCCTCCATCCACACACCCAGTCTAGGCACGATGGCTTCTTTTTTAGATCAAGGCCGGCATTCGGCCTCCGTGGGGACCGTGGCTTACCTATTCAGAAGTTGGTGAAGAGCTCCATCAGGAAGCCTTGCCTGGCTGTCACCTCCCTACGTCTCCAAAGCACCCAAAAAGTTGACAAGAAATGGGGGAGGGAGCAGCGACAGAAAGGGGAGGGAGGGCAGGAGGGGGGGCCAAAGACTTGCTGCCTTCAGGCTGTGACCCTCTTGGAATCTGCAGGAGGTGGCGGCAAAATGACAACCGCCGTTCTCTCTCTGTGAATCACGGCTTTGTCTAGGTGGAATTCCAGCAACTTCCAAGCCATTTTGACTCCGGAGGGGCGCGGGAGGGACGGGGACAGCAAGAGAGAACGTAGAACTGCTTGTGGGCAAGGAAGGCTGAAATGTTATGGGTGAGGCTCTTGACCTCCCCCAAGCACGGACAGACGTGTGAGAGTCACGCTTGACTTTTCCTTACTCAGACAAAAGGAAGCTTGGCGTTGGGGTGGCCTTTGAGATCTTCTAGGCATGGGGAGGGGAGGTGGGGAGGGGTTGGGCAGGTGGGGCAGGGTGTCTGCTAGAAATGGGCTTGAAATGAAGACTCCACATCGCATTTCATTTCACGTAGCCCTTACAGAATCAGTACGTTCGAGGTAGAAAGAAGTCCTCTTCTACAACGATGGTTGAGGGCCTTAGAGTGTGATGGGAGAAGTGTTCAACCACACAGTCACGGAGCCCATGCAGCGGAAGCTTTCAACTGCACGGTAGAAGAGCCATTGCCTACTCTCAGCCTTCCTCCGAGTTCCCCAATATTCAAGGGAGCGACGGGATGAAATCAGGAACCGAAATATTGAAAGCAGGAGCAAAAAGGATGGGATTCATCCATCTTTAGTAGCTGTGCAAATCAGGGACCACTGCCCACTGGCCCTTGCTCTGCCAAGCTACTTTCCCAGCCTGCTATTAAAGGCACACTAGCCCCTTCTCTTTGCCCTGACTGCTGTCCTAGATCAAGACTCCAAGTCCCATTCTCCTGAAATCGATCCTAGAGGCAAGAGAGGTCTTCCTGGGTCTCCACTCTTTGCTAACTTACATGGACCATCCTGTCTGGGGCTACTCAAGAGAATTGCACTTCTGCAGCTCTGGGTGGGGGATTCACAGATTCCCCCCACTCTGTCTCTGAGCCTGTGAAGGGGTGGGGGTGGTATGTGGTTGAGGGAAAGGAGACATTGCTGGCATCTAGAACTCTCGGAGAGTCTCTGTTTTCCTTGGGGAGAGCAGGAATGTGTGGCTGGCCTCCAATCCTTAGCACCGAAGAAGGAAAACATGCATTGTTTTCACCCAGAGGATTCCATTCCCATCAACAAGCGTCTCCCACAGATTTTTGTTCCAAAGGGCATTTCCTTGCTGCTACTCGCCTACAAGCACGGGATTAAAAAAAAACCCGTCTCGCTTCTGCCTCTTTTTTTTTTTTTTTTGAAGATGCTAATTTTTTTTATTTTAAGCCCCTCGGCTCTTACACGTAATGGAGAAGAAGGGAGAGAAAGACCATCTCAGGATGAACATTCCTCCCTTCCATTTAGCCCATCTTCAAAATAAAAACAGAATCGCACAATCTGGACGCCACCCGCAAGATGCCACTTCAAGGATGCCGTAAAGTCCAGGTTTCTGTGGGCTCCTTGGTTTGCTTCTCCTTCCGATGAGCATCTATGAAGTGACCGTCTCCTTCTAAGAGCAGCAATTCCTTCTGGAACATTCTGGGAGAGTCCAAAAAGCTCAGCAGAGGGATGCTCACCACGCACTCCAGAGCAGGGCTTTGCCTCTTTCTTGTCCCCTCAACCAGCCTGCTGCGCTTGATGTGCTACCCGACACCTCTACCTCACTTTCTCTCCTTTCTGAGGGCTAAACCTCTCATTGTCGATGACCTTCTACAAACCATCATGGATGGTACTGAGAAACGTCTCCAAGCCTTGCATTTTTCAAATACCTCGGATAGCATTTCCCAGCCACCCTGGTCATCACCGGGTAAGGCTGGACCAGAAAACAGAAGACCAGCTAGGCAGGAAGAGAGCCACTGAAGCTCGGCTGCATGCTGTACTGGCCTTGTACAACGGATGTTTATGGAGGAACTACCAAAATAATAAAATAATATAATACAGTATGTATTGTGAATATCTGTCACCCAGCACCAATTTTTTTTTAAAAAAAGCAACGAGTTGCCTGCTTCCCCTCCTTGAGTGACATACAAAAATATGAAGACGTGGAAGATTCACATACACACACCACTAAAACTCTTATTGTATTTACCTGTTGGTCCATTTGTACCCTCAACGGTGCATTGGCCTAGTGTCATAGTTCCGACAGATGAAATTCTTCAAAGAACTTCGAGGCATTGTTTACCTTAAAGAACCTTTATTAGAGATTCTAACATCGGATGTTTTTGCTTTGACACCTAGTGGTTAAGGCATCAGGCTAGAAAGCAGAGACCGTGAGTTCAAGTCCTGCCTTTCAAGTCATGAAAGTCAACTGTGTGACCTTGGGCCAGTCACAAGGATACAGTGAGTTCTAGGCATGAAAGCTGACTGGGTGACTTTGGACTAATCACCAGGTGACCGTGAGTTCTAGTTCCACCTTAGCCATCAAAGCCAACTGGGTGATTTTGGGCCTGTCCCTCTCTTTCAGCCTAACCCACCTGACAGGGGTTATTGCTGTGGGGAAAATAGGAGGTGTGTTCCAAGTGTTCACTGCTTTGAATTATTTGTAAAAATAATAAAGGCGGAATACAAATGAACAAACTGTGCCGTGTGTGGTTCTCAAAAAAGAGAAAAGGGGAAACGGAGGCAGAATCCTCTTTGAAATGTTATCGTAAGAGAATGCCACCTTGAATCACCCTCCTCTTTTCTTTTCTCTCTGAAAGTGTGAGTTTGATTTCTCTTGGGTGGATAAAGAAATTAGGAGAGAGGCTTAAGGGAGAAAACACATTTTTAAAAAATGAGCGTAGAATGTTGAGTATGCTCTTTAGAAACCGTTGATGTTCAACCCTTGCAGGGTTGAGAATGAGAACAATGAGAAAAAAAGGAAAGAAATGAAATTCAAGGGTGGTGCCCATATTACAAGCCGGCTTCCATGGCTGCAAATTAGGGATCATTTTCTTTATCAGATCCATGAAGGTGAAGTGCGAAGCCACGGAGCAACCCCTTGCACAGGTAAGTCAACGAAGACAGACGTTGGCTGGAGTTGAAAGGTCTTACCTGAGACTGAAAGTAGGAGGTGCTGTTGCGACGGGACGCCCCTGTGGTGTGCCATTCACGACATCTGGGGAGGGTGAATGAGCATCCCTGCATGACCATTGGCTGCATTAGAACAGTTGCTCATGAGGACCAAGCCTGAGCTGAGCCGTGGGAACTGGAAGGAAGACACGAGATGAAGGACAGAAGCGTTATTCGGTCTTTCCACGGGATCTACAGCAACGTTTCTCAACCTCGGCTTTTTAAAGATATGTGGACTGCAACGCCCAGAATTCCCCAGGCCCCTGTCAGAGATCCCAGGATTGATTTATGTGTTTGTTAAATTTATATGCTGCCCACCCTCACCATCAAGCTTCCAATATCAAAAATAGTGAAGGTTAAGAACATTCAGGCATTAAAAGTTAAAGCATTAAAATTTACGTTGGAAAGAAAACAGAATAACAGAGATGGAAGGGACCTTGGGGGTCTTCCTGTCCAATCTTCTGCTCAAGCAGGAGAGTCTATACACCATTTCAGACAAATGGCTGTCCAATCTCTTCTTAAAACCTCCAGTGATGGAGCACCCAAACTTCTGGAGGCAAGCTGTTCCACTGGTTAATTTTTCTCAAGAAAAATTATCCTGTAAAAGGAGAATGTGGAGACAAAGGGCCAATTCGTAGATGGGGTGGAGGTGGGAATCTTCTAACCTATTAACCACCTCCAGAATTGGACACCCCTACGGGACCCCAAGCCAGTTGGCGGAGCCAGGTTTTATAATTTATTGAATTTATTTATTTTTATATATTATTGACTTAGTTCATGAAAAAGTCCCTCAGCCTGGAAAAGCCTGAAGACCCAAGTCTAGACTTCCAAAGCCTTTGTTATGGTAGGCAATCTATCTCACCTGCTTGCTGTTTGGAAGCTTCCCCTCAAGGACTACAAAGCCAATTCGCACGCTTGCTCTTCGGGAGGGTATTGCTTAAAACGGGCACATCCTGGAAGAAGCATCTCCCTGAGGTCCCCCTTCCTAGCCCACTTTTTCAAAGCAGATGAAATAGATGGCTTGTGGGAGACTGAAAAGGAACACTAGAAAGCCATTGGACGAAGAATGGGAAACGAATGGAAAGTTTTGAAGTTCTGAAAGATTCTGGGAAGCGACATCAAATCAAGCAGAACAAACTTTGAGTGCCTCTCTCTGGAGATCGGGCGCAGAGCAACTTTTTGTATCTATGTGTGAGTGTAGTTGTATGTAAACGTTTGAGTCAGTGTTGACTCGTGGCAAGGTTTTAGAAGTTATTTGCCACATTCTACCTCTATTTGCAAGTCTTTGTATTCTTTCTTTCTCAATTCTTTCTCTACTTTTCTGCTCTCTCCATGTACTGCCATGTCCACTATCCATACTTTTTTTGTCTTTTGTTATCAACAGTTGTTAAGTCTGGTGTGTTATTATTATCATTATTATTAATCCAACTACGTATAGTATGCTGGCTAGGGTCTCCTTTGTGATCAAAGCAACATATAAGGTGATTAAATGACCAAATAACAGCATCACAGAACAAAAGAATGATTTTTTTCCTGCTTTTTGCACTTTGAAAGTAAATAGTAAAGCCATTGTTTCAATTGCTAATATTACTACTATTATTCTACTTGGGCTGCGAGCATCTCTTTTCCAAGTACCACAGATTGATCTGAGAGGCGTTTGCGTAGAATAGATCCCTTTTCACTTTTAGTACTGTACTTTGCTTTTCCAGTTGTTAGTGTCACAGACAGAGATAAAGCACAAGGCATTTTCTAGACACTGTCAGGATTTCTGTGAGTTCTAGCTAGAAAGAAATCCCATTGAAGCTTTTTTGCAGTAAAGACTTCAATAGAATTTGTTTAGAGGGATTTTTCAAAAGGTTGTTTTTAAAACGTGGCTTTTCGTACGACGTACAATCATGAAATGTAAAGTAAAAGGTTTAGATCAAATAATGATAACGTGGGAAAGAAAAAGAACTAAATATTTAGCAAAACATGGTGATTAAATGAACTAAACACAATAAAAACTATATATATATATATAGTTATATATACGCTAAATTTTATATATGCTAAAAAAATTTTGGATTGCAAACAAAGAGTTAAAGGGATGTCTTCCATATTTGGGCCGACAGGGTGCATCAAAAAACACTCAACACACACACACACACACACACACACACACACACACACACACACACACAGACACACACAGTAATGTGAAATAAATTTAATTCTTAAATTTATTAAATCTGGACTATATATATATACTATATATATTATGTCATCTTATTTTTAAACCATTAAGACTTTGAAAAAAAAGTTTAAAAAGATCTTTTAAAAAACTTTTCAAACATAATAAAGCTAAACCTTGGACCCATTCCTTAAAATCAGAAAATGTAAAATGTCTTTTCGCTTACACAAAATTATCATCTTTGCTGTACTCCAGACTTGATAAAGTCAAAGCAATCCATAAGATAATAAATTACAACATTTTATTAAGAAGATAATTAAATGTTATATTGAGATCCTAAACACCATGCCATCCAGAAATTCCACCACCAGTCTCTGTGGGCAGCCTTTTGCTAGCTAAAGAAATATTCGGGGCTCCTGTCCTAATACATCTACCCTATTTTTAATGGATTCTTTAAAGTAAGATGTAGACTAGTGCACAATTCAAATGCTCTTGAACTTTTACTGTCCCATCTCACTAGCTCGGAAATTTTTTCTACTTTCTAGCTAGTGCTTCCAATTGTTCTAAGATAATTTTCTTTAGCCTTTGCACCCTCAGTTATTTCTGGTCCATTTGATCCCCTTAATTAAAAAGGAAGCAATCAAAATATTGTGCATCTGTGTGTTTGGAGGTTTAGAGCCATTCTTTCTATAGCTTGGAAAGCTGATGTTAGTGAAAGGCACTTCAAGATTAGCATGGAATAGAATAGATCTGGAAGGGACCATGGAGGTCTTCTAGTCCAGCCCCCTGCTCAAGCAGGAGAACCTATACCATCTCAGACAGGTAACTGTCTAGCCTCTTCCTGAAAATCTCCAGTGATGGAGCGCCCACAATTCTATGGAATATTTTGAACACTAGTTGGTGCAATGGGTCAGTCAATCTGTTTAGTTCTTTGTGTGTAAAGATACCAAAATCACCACCTCAGAAAGAAATATTCTTCTATGTCAAAAGATTTCTCCTGCTATGAAAGACAGGTTAAGATACATCAGATTTGGCAAATAATCTAAATTGGTTTTGCAAATACAGTCAAGAATGATTTATTCAAGAAGCAAAGTTCAGTGCAGGACTGGGCTGGATAACATTGTTTTAGGCTGAAAATTTCTTGATTTTGGAATGGTGTGCTAAAGAGTCAGTCTCCAATAATAATAATATTAATAATAAAATGGTGCCAGAATAGAAAAGAAGGTTCATGTTTGATTAACATTCTTTTCAAACAAGATGAAACGTCTTTCATATCGTTTCCCATCCTTCTTAATAATTCCCTCCTTCTGTCCTGTGAAATATTTTGATTTGGAGAAACTTCTAGAGGGCCTTGGAGGCTGCAAGCAAAACTTGGAGCGGTGTGGGCAACCCCAGGCTTCAGTCTGCGTGACAATGTGTTTGTACCCAGTTTCTTGGACCAGCTTACTATTTGTAATCTGCAGGGTGATGATGCCCTCCTTTTGCACAAAATTAAAAGAAGACCCTAATTAAAAAAATACAGCTGACCCAGCGTTAACCTCATTGAAATGATCGGGAAGCCCCTGAAATCAACCACAATAAATGTGTGTATTCACGCATCCCTTGGTTTTGCCAGCCTCCCAAGGTGGCCAATTTCAAGCTCTATTTGCTTGATTCCCTCTTGATACCAGGGCTGCAGGATCAGCTTAGGTCAAAGAGTCGTTTTTTCTTTTTTCTTTTCATTTTAAAGCAAAAGGACCTGGCATGCTTGATGGAAAGCACCTCTAGTTTGGAAATGCCTTGTTGTGATTTTTAAAGGTAAAACATAAGCCGTCCTTTGCCAGTTTTCTCTTCCAATTCTTTCCAGCCTGCCCTGAAATTGGTAATGTCTCCTCTTACCACGTTTTCTGATCCTGTTCCTGGGCTGGATGACCCCATCCCAAAGCAAGGGCATATATATATGTGTGTGTATGTGTATATGTGTATATATGTATATGTATATGTATACACACACACATATACATACATACATACATACATACATACATGCATCAAAAAGCACTCATACATGCATACATACATACATATATATATATAAGCCTGTAAAGTCATCCAGCTCAAGAGCAGCTGAGCAGACCATTGGTTTCCGGACACCTTTTCAAGGTAGCAGTTAATCTGGATCCTTCCCCCCACCCACCCAAAAAACGTGGGCTATCCTGCTTATCTGCCCCCCTTCACATAAGGATCCTCCCCCTAGAATAGCAGAACCCCGAAAAGAAACACTGAAGGGGATTCTGACAGCCAGGCATCCAAGCTTGTTTAGGGTGTTGTCTCTCGCCGTGTTCCCATCACATCTGAGCAAAGTTCCGGCCCTTTTTCCTAACCACCCAAGGGTCACTTGTCACCCTGATCATTTTTTTCCCTCTCTCTCTGGGAAGATTCGGGGAAGGGGCTGCAGGGAAGAGGCAGGGGGCTCGGGGACCGCGTTTGGGGGGTGAGGGGGAGAGAGAGAGGAAAGGAGCCCTGGCCGCGCCGCCCCTGCTAAACAGGCTGGGGGCTCTTCTTCCCTTGGGATAAAAGCCCGGCGAGGCTGGGCTTGTACAGTATCTCAGTGGAAAACCCGCCGTGAAATTGGGAAGGGTGGTGGGGGTGGGGGTGGGGTGAAAACGAGGAGAAGGGAAAAAGAGACCCTGCCTCCCGCAACTGGCAAGGACGCCCGGAGGGAGGAGGAAGAGGAAGATGGAGGGGGGAAACACAGAGGCTGACGATGATGATGAAGAAGAAGGGGATGAGGATGGTGGTGGAGGAGGAGAAGGATGCTCGCCTTCTCCAAGCCCAGCCGGCCTACCTGGGGAGGGGGTTTCCCGGCGGCGAGGGAAGACGCGGCAGCTGCTGCTGAGCCTGCCCGGCTCGGCGCTCCCTCCGGGGGTGTCCAGCAGCG